TATATATATATATATATCTACAACACTGGATGGACAGCAGCCATTCATATTCATTGTCTCAAAACACACCATTTAAAATTACCATTACATTATCCTATGCAATTGAACAGTTACAGCTTCATATGGGACCATATACAGTAATCCAAGTGGAAGCCACCTTACCTTGGGCTGAGTACGTCTAGGAAAGGCAACTTTTGGGTCAATCTGAAGGAGCAAAGACAGAGTACCACACACATTAGTACTGATATACAGTCATGTGATGTGATGCAATTCAAACTTTCAGACACAATGTATATGCACAGTAACATAGAAAACTTCCCTGACAATGAAGTCTGGACCATGAAACCATCCCTCACGGTGGTGACTTGACTCTCCAGGAATGCCTCGCTTTTCACAGTTATAATGGGGACCAGAAGCCCACGCAAAAGGTGAAAAATCGCAAAGTAGGATTTGCACCGACCCTAGGAATTTTCGTGAATGTGCGTACAAGCAGATTAAGATTTGTAGAGTATTTATACTTTACATATTTGAGACAAAGATTACAACAGTACACATATTTAGTTCAATCTTAAAAATAAAACATTATACAGGAATTAACATTGAGCAACATTGCCTTCTGAGAGAGGCAATGAGGCTTGTGTTGGTGGCGTCACTCGAGACTCTTCTGCTGGAGGCGCTGACAGTGTCGCTGAGATTTTTAAATTGGAGAAAAACATGGTGATGGGTAGCGTTCTGACATTTATCTTGTCTTCTTAGGTGAAATAGGTTTAAGTTTTTTGTTTTGTTTTGTAATCAGACAATGGTGTTTTTTTAGTGAAGGAAAAAACTCTTACCGAGCTTACAATTTCAGCTGTCACTTCAGCCTTCGTCTTAGCTGTCATTGCTTCCATATGACGTGTCTAAAAAAACAGCTGACCGGGTCGGGAAACCTTCAAAATAAAGCTACCCGACTCAGTCAAGGCTGTGAACCGGCCCTTTCCACTTTTGAAGCAATATGTCCCTTTTGATGGTGCCATCTCTGTTGAAGGATGAGCAGGCTTACATGCTCCCACACATCTGGGACGCATTGCTTCGGTGGTGGTCAGCATGCTTTAGCTCCCTTTTCTGTCTGAGGTATGTCACGAACACACGTGTGGGTAGATGCCAGAGCTTGGAGTAGTTGTGTTGTTTGATCTCAAGCATAAGCGATTACATTTGGTACTCATGGAACCAGAGTCAGGAGGAAGAGTGGACAGGGTCAAAAGCCACATTGCTTACAGTCAGTGATGGTTGCAGGATCCAGCTGTTTACCAAGAAATATTTCAGACTTCTTTCTGATGACAAGCATTTTGGAGATGCTGATTTTCTAGATATCAGGACGTGGTGCCTAATGCTATGACTAAAACTACGAAAACCTAAACTACGAAGACCTAAAGATGGATTGTCAAGAGAAAAATAAGAGACACCAATTCCAATAATAAAGATGAGCTGAAGGTCACCATCAAAGCAACCTGGCCTTGCATAACCCTTCAGCAGTGCCACGGGCTGATTGCCTCAATGCCACACCACATTGATGTAGTCATTCATGCAAAAGGTGCTCCAACCAAATGCTGACTGCATATGAATGAACACACTTTTCAGAATGCCAACATTTCAATTTTAATATTATTTTTAATAGATTCTCTTGCCCAAACTTTTTTGAGTGAAGATCTACTTTCCAAGCAATGGACCACCTGCTATTGACCCGTTACAGCACGTGCCTGTACATACACATGAATGCACGCACGCACACACACATGCCATGATGAGCAACAGCCACAACGGCCTCTAACATGAACGAAAAAGAGAAATAAAGTAGACGCAAGAGTTTGTGAGTTTGTGCAAAGGAAATCACTGCCTACCTTAGAGACCTGACGCGGAGGCATGGAATGCACTTTTACAGCGTGTTAAGTGCAGAAACCGGATGTATGTGTACCGTTTTAAAATGCTTCTCCTTGCGCTCCAGATTCCCATTCTTTGCCCGTGCCATTGGTGAATTGGAGATTAAACAAACTTTGAATGAGGATAACAACAAAAAATATATATACCCCAACTATTACGCATAACTATGTTCTTCTCTCGGGAAAAGACACCTGCACCACAGCTTTCAGTAGACAAAGACACTTCAGCGGAGCGGAGTCAGGACAAAGAGAGACAATGAGTAACAATATGTCCAACCACATATTGACTATTAAAATGTTTATTTTACAGTATTTCTAAATACTATCATAGTTATTTGTAAGAAAACATTTACAATTGTACTTCTTTTATTCTTTAGTACAGTATTGTATTGTGTAATAATTAAAAAATAATAATAAAAAAATAAAGCTGACTACTTCATGGATTTCACCGATCACAGGTTCTTTTTGGAACGTAACCCTCTCAATAAACGAGGCTTCACTGTATTCTGTGTGTATCAAACTTGTTTTTATGAAGAAATCAAGTTCAAGTGTTTGAATTTATTACAGTCAGCCAGAGGACACGACAGTCACTCAAAGTGAACCATCAGTCAATCCACCGTCAGTGACCTCACAAATGTTCTTCGAGGTGAAAAGGGACTACAAAGATCTCATCAGCTGGTAGCTAAAAGCTGGACAGTGTCTGAGGTGAAACTAAATAATTTTGTCCAGCATCAATGAGGGTCAAGGAACTCACAACACTCTTGTTTATATCTGTGTCAAATGGAAACATGGTGTGAATAATCAACATCCAAAAAAAATTTATATTGCGCATCAACTATTATAACTACTCTTGTACTATTATAACACTCTTGTTTATATCAGTGTCAAATGGAAACATGGTGTGAATAATTAACATACAAAAAAACGTGTATAACGCATTGACTATTATAAAGGCAAATGACTGACGGGCTCTAGAAAATATTATTTTCAATGTGTGTCCCAAATGCCTGGTGGCACCACTAGCCATAAAGAAGAAAGGTTTAATATTAATAACACCTGTCAATGTGACTTCATTGGACCACTAACGGCCTCCTACATAATAAAAGTAGACTTATTATATTTCTAACAGAGCCAATGAACAAAACACCACCATAAGCGGTGCAGAGGACTCATTCATGTAAATAGTACTAGACTGTGGCCACTGCATACATCATAAAACATGTCAATCATATAGACTTTATGGGTCCTTAAAAAAGCCGGCCCGGTGGTCCTCTGGTTAGCACGTCGATCTGACAGAGGTGCAGGGTTCGATTCCGGCACCGGCCTCCCTGTGTGGAATTTGTATGTTCTCCCCATGCCTGCGTGAGTTTTCGCCAGGTACTCCACTTTCCTCCCCCACATCCCAAAAACATGCATGGCATGTTAATGGAATAGTCTATAAATTGCCCCCAGGTGTGAGTGTGAGCATGCATGGTTGTTCGTTTCTGTGTGCCCTGCAATTGGTTGGCAACCGGTTCAGGGTGATCCCTACCTACTGCCCGAAGACAGTTGGGATTGGCTCCAGCATGCCCCATGACCCTTGTGACGATAAAGCGGATCAGAAAGTGGATGGACCGATGGATGGTTCATTAAAAAAAAAATGCCCATTCAAACGAAATAATGCTTTGTTGTTATCTAGCAGGGGCTAATACAGTATACATCTGAGGGGCTACAGCAATTTGTTCACCAATTAACCACACAGGAAACGATGTCCAAAAATAGGATCAATGAACTTGACAAAAAAAAAAAAAAAGAAAAAGACCATGATACTAAACTTGGCACCCCAGCTCAAAAATTACAATGAACTCACTCTCAAACAATTGTTAAGATTTGCAAAATTAATTACCTAACAACAAATAGCACATCCATCTAATACCATCTTTATACACGAATGTATTAGCATTTGTGATTGTATTGTAGGCTAGGTACAAATATATAGTGTCATGAAATTAGTAAAGTCGACATGATTTCAGGATCAAATGGAATTAGTCAAACTGAAAAGATGTCTGGTCATCACCATCAGTGTAGGCCTATACAGAGAGAGTTTTCAGAACAGCACTGAAAATGTCCCACATTTAAATGTAAATATCTATTTGACGGTACTATGTACAGCAGGGGTGCCCACCCGGACTGATCCCAAGGCGACCCCGAGGTGTGTAGGAAAAATAAATAAATTATGACACGACAGGAAGTTAGTGTTGCCAACTTAGCGACTTTGACACTATGAGCGAGTATTCAGACCCTCTCGAGCGACTCTTTTTTTCAAAAAAGTGACTAGTGAAAATCTTTTTCTGGTGTTATTGGAGACTTTTGGAGTCTGTGGCATGGAAGCACATTGTTAAGCCTGGCGCTGCTGTGGCCCGTCCCCCCAAATGAAGCCGCTGCTGGCTGATCCCGCTAGGTTTACAGTCAGGGCTGGATGTAAATGTAAACTTTTCTTTGTCTAAAAATAAACTAAAAAAAAAAAAAACAGCATTTAAAAATTACAAAAGAAAAAAAAAAAGAAAAGAAAAAAAAACAAGTAACTCACACGCCCTGGTGACATCATTTAGCGACTTTTAGGACAGCCAATAGCTACTGTCCTTACCGATGAGTTGGTAACACTGCTGGAAGTTGACCGCTCTCAACAGTAGCAAGCAGCTAGCGATTACCACGGTTACACACCCCAAAACGTCAACATGGCTGAGGGGAAACAAGCCAAGACCTACCATTTTCACCCTGAGTGGGAGCCAGATTATTTTTTTGTTTATTCTCAATTAAAGCCTGTTTGTTTGATTTGCAATGCAACGGTGGCATTGACGAAGAAAGCGAATCTAGAGCGGCATTTCAAAACGGTACACAGGAGCTATGAGATGGATTTCCCTGCAAAAACACTTTTACGTGCCACAAAAGTGCGGGATTTGAAAGCACAGCTTGCAGCACGGAAGTCAATCTTCACCAAACCGAAGACGCAGAGTAACTAACTACGAAAAGCTAGCCTCCTCCTCCGAGTGCCAGGTCTCCCACTAAGGAAGGAAGTGATTTCCTTTTCTTTCAAACAGAGATCTACCTGTTTCGTATATGGTTTATTATTCTGTTTATGGCTATTGCTCATCATGCAGATTAGTGTGTGTGTGTGTGTGTGTGTGTGTGTGTGTGTGTGTGTGTGTGTGTGTGTGT